TTTCTTTCTTTCTTTCTTTCTTTCTTTCTTTCTTTCTTTCTTTCTTCCTTCCTTTCTCTCTCTCTCTCTCTCTCTCTCTCTCTCTCTCTTTCTGTTTGTTATTTTTTTATTTTTTATTTTTGTCCTGGAGATTTAGGGTCCCAGTCCTTTTGCCTGAGACACAGAGGGTTCATGTCTGGGTATGTGCAACATAGCCCTCATTGCAGTATCTGCTTAAGGAGAGGTTAGGGATCTGATGGAGGCTTGCAGATACCTGACAAGTGAGTGAGGAGACAGCTAGATTGGAGCCTGGTGCTGCAGGGCAAAATGTGAAGGAATGCGGAGGTGACACCATGAGGCTATCTGGAGGCTTTCTTCTCTCTGTCATCCAGGATGAGACATAGAGGGCCCTAGCCCACCTTGTAGATGGAAAGGCCCCACACTGCCATCATGGCATGGATGGGAGACGGACCCTCAGGGAAAAAAAAACAACCTGTAGGGCTGTGGGATGAGATGGGGGTGGGTGGGTCATGAAACCTACCAGCCAACCTTGTATGGCACTTACCACAATGCCAGGCTTCTTGGAAGCACCTTCCCATTCTGCTCTCAGGTATGTGCTTCTCCTGCTTGGAGCTGAGGCCCACCCAGCAAGAGTAGCAAGTGCCCTAGAGTTGCACAGCAATACAAAACAAGGATGGCCAGTGTTTACCTCAGGCCAGGCTGGGCTGGGCAGTGGGACCAACTGGTCATATCAGAGCTAAGACTTCATAGGCCACTGAGCTGTCATCATGATGATATTGTAGCTGGGGTCTCCCTCAAGCCACCCCAAGCTCTCTTCACAGTGTTGGGTGAGAAGCTGGTGATACAGGGTGCCAGTTGGAGGACTCCAATGCCAGAGGGAGGGGTTTCTAAGTGATCCTCTTGTCTTGAGGCTACCCGTCCCCTGCAGCTCTAGGAGGGTAGCCAAGTCTGCAGCACACCTGAGGTCTGAGCTCTGGCCTCCAGGATGAAGCCAGCAGCAGCGGGTTCTTCCTTGATTCCAACAAGGAACTGGCTATGCAAGTAACCTCCCTCCCTTCTGTACACGTGTGATCCCATTGTAGGCATACACATGTTGGGGTACAGGTCAGGGAGCTCCAGCAAGGTTTGATGGCACCTTAGATTTTTGCAAATACTGAAGAGATGCTCTGGGTCAGAGAGAGGAAGCTGAGGGTGAGGCAGAGATGCAAAGGATGGGACCCAGCAATATAGTTTGCGGGCAGAGAAAGCTTGGCCCTCCTGTATGGGTTCCCTGAACAGAGACAGGCTGAGAAGCCCAACAACCTTTTCAGGTTGGTTCTGGGAGCTCCTTGGCACTATCCTCTCTCATGGCCTCTTGCCTGAAGGCTCTTCCTCTCACTCTGCCTGCAGCATAGGTATTGAGTGTGAATCTACTCAGGAGAGCCTCCCGCCTTCACAGGGGTAGGATCCCAGGAGGCAGAAGCCATCAGGTTCTGGAAGTACAGTGTATAGACTTGTCCTTGGGAGACTGGAGTGGGACCTACAGGGATGAGCCCAAAAGGATCTGCTTTTCAAGGATCTGTGGGACACTCAGCAAGGGGACCAGAGACCAGCCAGGATAGCCTCCTCAGCACTCCCCACCCAAGAGCAGAATGAAGACCCAACTTCTTTCCTTTGAGGGGGAGGAATACGAGGGGTACCCTTGCCCAGGACCCAGGGAGACTTGGTGTTCCAGCTTAAGCCTCCCACCTTTTGACTTGTTACCCAACATCAGCAAGGCCTGACTTTTCTAGGGTAGGGAACAGAATTGCCACAGTGGCTGTGAGGCTACAGCCTGGGGTCTAGGTGCCCATTACTGCTCCACCTGTCCTGGTTCCCCACCTTCTGTTAACCCGTGGCTTCTCTTATATGTAATTCTTGTGGCCAAAGAGCACAGCTCAATGGCTGATGGGATCACTAATACCAGGACAGCCTCCAGTCATACCCACTACTGTGGGCCTTAAGGCCCTAGGAGTTACTCATAAGTGGTACAGGGGCATAGACAGTTATGATCTAACCTGGGTTACCTTCTTACTGCTCCCGAGATACCTGATGGCTCTGTTTATGTATACATCCTGGCCTCTCCACAGGTCTCATTGAACTGGTAAGATGATGGTGCTTGGGCTCCGGGGCCATGCCCCAGTGCTCTCAGCCCTTGCTTACTTGTTCTTCATTCAGAAACAAGTGTCAGGATGGAGAAGAACAGCTGGAATCTTGGGCTGCCCACCCAGGTGGCGCCCTACCTGGGTGGTGTGAGGAGGCACCCTACCTGGGTGGTGTGGAGGATGGAGTTCTGTGGCCCTGGAGCCCCTTCCCTAGTTTTAGCCCGTTTTCTCTAGAATATTCTCAGCAAACACACCATGAAAAAGACTCACACACGATGGCCACCAAACAAGGAGCTTCACTTTGGGGTAGGGAGGCCATAGGGTTGGTGTTGTGCTAGAGGAGGGTAGGCACTTATATAACTTGGAGGATATAAGGAAGGCTGCCTGGCCTGGTGCCTGAGTAGGTATGGAGGCAAAGCTCTGAGTGGGAGGCACTTCCAGGCAGGAGGTCCAGGCTGGAAGATGGGACATAGATGTTGGCTGAGTGTGACAAGGTGCTGTCCTCATCCCACGGCCCTTACCTGTGACTGCTCAATACTTGGCATGATGGCTGTGGTACCTACATTTCAGATTAGAGGAGAGAAAGAGGCAGTGAGGTGGTCTAGCCAGCTACCTCTGTCCTTCTGAAGGGTTTGAAGACTCTGTATTTCTCTGCTGTCACTCCTGGCCATGACTGAGTCATACAGCCAGCTAAGCTGGGCACCTGTCAGAATGGAGAAAAAGTGTGGTTCTATTGACAAGGGGACCTAAGGTAAAGGATTTAATGAGTGAATGAAGGCTGTTGAGGGAACAGAGTGAGAGGCTCAAACACCTTACACTTGGGAGTAGGACAGGACAGTGTATGTTGAAGGGACAGTAGGAGGAGAGACCCTTACTCAGTAGCTTCCTGAGTACTGGGTTTGGAGATACAGTCTAAGCCAGGGCCACTCATGTGGGTGGGGTCCTCATGAGCTTCTCAAGCAGGTGAAGTTGCCGAGCCCAGCATCCCTCCAAAGATCTTGGAACTATTCCAATCTGTTGTCCCCAACCGAAGGTGCCAGAAGCCAATCCTGGCCCCCAAGTATCAGAGTCCATCCTGCAGAGGATAGTCTCAGACACTAGCTCTGTGGTGTCTGTGGTCTGAGGGGATGGGATCTAGACCTGCTGGAGACCTTGTGTCAACTCTGCCCAAGGGAACTCTGATCCTGCGCCTACTCCCCAAGCCTTGGGCAGGCTGCCTCCCTCCCTTCTGTTCGAGTCTTTGCTGTGCTTGAGCTGTAGGAGTGAGTACCCTGCCTCTTTGCAGGAGGCAAGATGGCCTCACCGCAGACTTGAAAGGAGGCATTGAGCCCTTCTTCTGGTAGCTCTTGTTCAAGGTAGATTCGTTCACAGGCCCCAGAGACCACATAGCCCATGACAAAGGAGAGGAGGCCACTCTGGAGGGGTCACTCCATGGAAAGCACACTTCATTTTCCTCTTTTTCTGTGGTATTGGGGATGGAACTCAGGACTGGACAACTGAACACACACCCAGCCCTCCCCTCCCTCTTCTTCATCTTGGAAGAGACAGGAGATTCAGGGCCAGAGTGACTACCCATCCCTCAGACAGGCGTTGGCCTTTGGTGGCCCTTCCTCCCAAATGTCTGAGTCTAGCCCAGCACAGGCAGAGCTGGGCGTGTGTTCATCTTAGCCCCAGTCTCCTCTGTCCTCCTCATGCATGATGGTACCATGAACAACTGTTCCCATGAATGTGCCTGGACACAAACTTATGCCAATGTGTGCTGAAATCCACATTCACACCCAGTGCCCGCAGGGACACTCATCTCCTGCTCCCTCACATGGCCACACTGTCTGCTCACATACCCTTTCATGGTGGACACACACATTAGTGCCTCAGTGTCCAGAACTCATGACGGTATCTGGGTTCCTATGCGAAGCGCTCCTTCACACACCTCTCTGGTACCCACTTGGGTTCAAAAGCCGCCTGGCACTCAGCACTGTTCACATGCTCAGTCTCCAGCACACACATTACTAACTATAGGATCAGGAGCCAGGGGTTGCTTCACAAATCTCAGATGACATTGAGATCTACAGACGGGTGTCCGGATGCACACAGACCCTTCAACAAAAAGTTTTTGGTGTGTGGTCCTATTTCCGATTCTGCTAGTCCAGGTAATCCCCCATGTCTTCTGAGGTTGCAAAGGGCGAGCTCAGTGCCTGGCAGCTCAGCAGCCTATGCAGATCATGACGGCAGGTGTTTGACCCTGCTGAGAATGGACTCAAAGAAGGATTCACTAGGTCGGACCACATGATTAGCAAGGGCCAGGGCAAGTCATATGCTTCCGATGCCCATGCATGACCTGGGCTCCTCAGTGATCAGCAGGTGGCACATCGTGACCCACGCTCCTCCCCAGTCTGTCTGGCCCTTCTTCCCGTGTACCCACTGGAGAATGAAGGGGATGCCCAGTGCCAGGCCGAGATTGAATATCCAGGTAGGATCCCCAAAGGGCCACCCGGAGTCAATCCGCAGCTCCCAGGCACAGTCCTTGCTAGGGTACTTCAACTGCACTCATCCTCAGATTTCCGGTCTGTGTCCCTGTGGGAAGTTCATGCCCAAGCTTCCGCTAACCAAGCTGCCCCGGCTAAGCACACCTGAGGCAGGGTCCCACTTCCTCCTCTCACTTCACCCTCAATCTTGTTGGACTTGACTCCCTGCTGGCGTCTTTTGGCCGCTCCAGCCACCGTCACCTTGCTTCACCCCAACGGGGCACGCTGGGACTCGTAGTCCACCGGCCGGCGTGTAGAGGGCCGCCCACCATTGGCTGGTTTCCTCATCACGTGATGTTTGGAGGGCTAGCTTGCGGCTTGCTGCCCTCCTTCCGCGAAGATTAGAGCACGCCCCAGAGGTGAGGCAGGTGAAAGCAGGTGGAGCAGGTGATGCAGCCGGCGCGCTCGCCGGCACCCGGGCGATCTTGGGGGAGAAGGGAGCGGCTCGGGCAGGCGCGCGGGGCGGAGCCTGGAGGCGCGGAGTGGGCGGGGCCGGGTGTAAAACCAGCTTGCGGGGCACGGGATGGGGATTTGTATGCCCGATGCGGCGCTAGGGTGCGTGGCTTGGGCATTGCGTGGGCAAGGACGGCCCTGGCGGCCAGAGTGGCTCCGGGTCTGGCTAGGATCCTTGCTGCCCACCCTCGAGGACCGCGCTTTACCTGGAGCGCCCGCGAACTCACTTGTTAGCTGCAAGAGGTGTCCCTGAGGCTCTGAGGGAGGATCAGCCCTTGAGCCCTTGAGCTGGAGATCACGATCTTATGTGTCTTGCCTTATTCTGTTCTTCAAGTTGTACACGGTGCCTCACCGGGATCCCTTTTGGGGCTTTCAGGTGGTCTGGAGCTGCAGTATCCCCGCGGAATCCCCCACCCGGGGCCACCTGTTGTTGGTAGAATCCTGTCTCAGCCTTCTCTCCACCGGGAAGCTTTGTGTCAGAGGTCCAAGGTGGCAGTTACTAGTCACCTGTAACTAAATAAGCCTCGAAGCCACTCCTGCAGGTTGGACAGCGAAGGTAGGGACCTTTACAGTCTTCCCAGGAAGTTCCCTGGGCCGTGGTGCAGCTCCTCCACCCCTCATCCCGCCATGCATCTTTCCACTCACACTGTGGCACCCCTTTCTTCTACCCCTTCCTTCCACCCTTGCCTGCCTGCCTGCTTTTCTCTTAGGCCCTGGCCTGGAGCCAGCTGGCTTAAAGTCACTTCCTGACCTCTCCTTGGATATTTCCCTGCTCCTCCTTTTCTTCCCGGTACCTGCTATTTTCACACTGCCATTGCTTGCTCTCTGTGTTACCTCTCATGTCCAGGAGGCAGGGATTGGATTTGCTGCATGGCCTGTACTTGCACTATGGCTGTACTCTTAGGCTGGAGGCGAAGGTACAATCTGCTAGTGGTAAAGGTCCAGGGGTAACATTGTACTCTCCAGCGACACAGCTTCTTCCACTGTAAGCTTGCGGGAATCTCACACACCAGGTCCTGGGACCCAGGGTGTGGGAGGTCAAGAGCAAGTTGTGACTGTGGATGGCTGGGGGAGGGCCCTTAAAAGGCCAGGAGGATTCTTACAGGAGGTTGAGTTTTAGCTGGGTCATTTGTGTTCCTGACTAATGATAGCTGGCATTCACATCTTCTCACTTTGTCCAGTCATGTTTCCTCAGGCATTTCCCTGTATGGCCATATGTAGATGTTCGGACAACAACCTAGACCACAGCACTGTGTCTGGAGGCACATGTGCAGGCAGATGTCATTATATCCCTTCCACAGCCCCCTGTTTGCAGGTTGAAGCTCTGCATCTGGCTTGAATGTAAGGCTCTAGCCAGTGTTTTTGGTTCTTTCATTATGCTCACGGGTCCTTGTTTCTTGCGTACCCTGTGCCTTCTTTACTCATCTGAATGCGCATGCCAATTCTCTTTCTTGGAATGCCCTTCACTCCCTCATGCTCTTCTGAGTCCATGGTGTAGGCGCCTCTGCCTGCTTGTCCCCCAGGACCCAGCACAGCATCGAAAGCTGAGTGAGCAATGTCAAGTTTGGATAAAGGAGTAGGCTGTAGAAGAAGGGCCTGGAGGGGAGTACAGATGCTGAAGCATACAAGTTGGAAGGTTACAGGCAGGGATTTGAGGAGTAAACTATGACTATAGCTGTAGCCAGTCATTCACAGATATGTGACGGGAGCCCCAAAGGGTAAGGGGTTTGAGTTGGGTCAGGTATGGAGTTGGGTAGGATATGGGGAAGATTGGGGAAGATGGGAGCATTCTACAGGAGTAACACCAGCCACACCTATCCTCTAGGTCAGGGCCAACCTCTGCTAGGGGTACTCAGTGGCCCCAAGGAGAGGGCCTGCTGTGATTTCATCCCAAAGGTGAAAAGCTGGGGGCCCAGGAAGAGAAATCGTGTTAGTCCCCTACTTGAAGTTCTGAGGTGCTTTTCTCTAGAGTCCAGACACACACAGTCTGAGGTGGCTGGACATTTTATCATTCTGCAGTTTTGGGGAAGTGTGTGTTGCGGTGTAAAGGTGCCAGCTTCTGTTGCTTCTCTTTCCAGGTCACGTGTGGTGGGTGGGCTCGGGGCTAGGAAATCCATTTTGATCTTATGGGTGGAATTTTGCCCATGGCTCCATCCTGCTGCCATTCATTTCTGTTCTTCAAATTCTGACTGTGCGCTTATCAGTAACAGTGAGTATGAAGGTAGACATCAGATTCATCTGTATACGGTCCCTACTCAGCACTGCTTGGTTCCTGAGTGGCCGCTGCATCTGTGCATGGGGAACTGGGTGACAGAGAGACTGCAGGACAGAAAGGAAGGAGGTGCAGTCACCGCTGTCTCCTCCAGGACAGGATGCCTTCACTTGTTCACTGTGAAATCTGTTTGGGTTTACACTCTGTACGTGGACTGTTCTGGTCCTGCCTCCTTTGGTGTGCCAAGGCAGGTGGGGAGGAGATCTAGTTTATATTCTCAGGAGAGAAACTTGCAGACTTAAGTTGCTGGCAGCCAACTGCAATCACTCTCTGCCTGCCACCGCACTCACAGCCAGCTGTAGCCCTGGGACAGGGAATCTATGGGTTCCTGGCCAAGTTTGCTAAAGAAGTGGAGGATGTGATAGAGCTGACCCTGAGCTTGAACTATTTGTTCTTCTTTCTCTGTGCTTTCTGTCAGTGCCACACTGAGCTCTCTATTCTGCAGGGTTGCCTTGGCCAGGCCCTCTAGCATAGCAGGTGGCACCTGTCAACAAACCAGGTGTCTTGAACAGTTTTCCAACCCTTTGCATGTCTAGAGTACCTTGCCTGGGTAGTTGAGGCCATGGTTCCCTGTCTGATATCTAGGGCTGCCCTCTGGTGCTTGTCATTTCAGACTGTCCTACTTTGTTCTAGCCATCAGATTTTTCCCATCAGCCCCTAGGCTTTCTGAGTTGAGGGTGGGTGGAGATATGCTTTGCTTGGCTTCTTACCCAGAGCACATGGATGAGGGGCAGAGCATGGGTGCAACCTGTTAGGACTTGGGTCAGCTTTGTGGCTGTCGCAGGCAGGCTGGTCACTTGCTGGGGTGGATTGCCCACCTAAATAGGGCCAAACAAGGCCTTCACCATGGGCTCTGTAGTCAGGGCCCTTGTCTCTGTGTTCTGTGGGGGCTCTGCAGTGGTCAGGCCTTTGTTGGAGGCTCAGGACATGGCGTCCAAGAGAAAGGGGCTGCCTTCAGGCTGTGTTCCTCACAGAGTACATGGGGAGTGACCCTGGAAGCTTGGGCAGGAAGGGAGGCCTGGACTTGGCAGTAACTGCTGGTGCTTTTCAAGAAAGGCCTGTGGAGTCTTGTTGAGCTTTGTTGGACAGGGTCTCATGGCCGGAGCTGAAAGGTCTAGGTTGGTCTGCTTCGGGGCTCCATGCTGTGTGGCTGGACTCCCCTTGGTGCAGTGGCACTGTGTGCCCTTTGGTGGATCTGGGACAGTTAGGTCCTTCCTGGACTGATGGCAGGGGCTGCTCATTATCTTGGCAACCACAGGCTCTGCTCTGACTCCTGGAAACAGCGGCCCTTCCTGACTGGAAATGAGCAAGCAGGGCCAAGTGGTCACGCTGGCCCGAGAGACCCTGGCCAAATGCTCTGGCCCAATAAACCTTTATGATTTTCTTCCACTGGATCGATGGGAGATTGTCTTGTTTTCTGACTCTGATTTCCCCTGAGACAAGGTTGGATCCCAGGCCTGACTTATTCCACATTCTGGTGTGAGCCCAGTATTTCAGCTCCTTAGCTATGGGATATTAACCATGTCACTTTCTAGAGCTCCCAAACCTTGCCTTCTCATACTGCTGACATGATCACAGCTTCCAGGGGTCCATGAAGCCCATTCCAGAAATGCAGAGGCTCCAGCTCTTTGGGATAGCACTCGAGAGTTCTGAAGTGTGAAGAAGGGGCTGCGGTGGCCCGCAGAGGAATGCAGTCCCCAGGCAGTGGGGGCCGCCTTTTTTTTTGAGCCATCTTCCGAGCTGCGCCACTTTCCATTTCCCGCTCCAGACAACCTTCTGTCCGGGTGGCTGAGGGCATGGCCTGTTCTCAAGTGGATTATATCATCACTGTGGTCATTAAGTGGTTAGCATCACTGTCTTTTACCCCTTCATCGTCTGTTGTCTCCTGTCTGTTGACTACCATACGTCTGCCGGGATCTGCTGGCTTCCTAACACAAGGCAGGCCTGCACACTTCCTGTGTTTGAGTAAGTTATCACACTCTCACGGGGCTGTAAAGACTACCCTGGCATTCTGACTCTAGAGATGAGCCTGCTCATTGTTCTGCCCCTCTGCCTGCTGGGAACTCCAAAGAGAAAGAAGTTTGACCTAAAGAAGCTGGAAGCGGCCTGTGAACCAGAGATGGTGTTGATAGTGGCAGTGTTGGTAGGGTGACTGTCCTGGCTCTTCTGCCCCACAAGGGGGACATTCTCAGGGTGAACGTGGTATAAGTTTGAGGGCCATAAGGAGCTGTGTATGCTGCTCTTCTGATGGAGAGGGGAGGCCAGGGCAGAACTCAGGATTCTTGTTCCCATGAACGAGCTTACTGGCAGGGTGGCTGGTGCCCGGGAAGGTGTCATTGCAGGGTCATGCATCACCAGAGCTTGTGGGGCAGATGCCAGGCTTAAGGAATATGTCCGTGTGTGCCTGTGTGTGTTATCCTGCACCTGTACAATCTCCTGGGTATAGTCTGACGGATTCAGGTGAGTCCGTACCAGTGGAATGTGGGACACGGGTAGGATAGAGTATGAAGGTATTCCAGGAGAGCTGGAAGTTTCAGGGCTATGTTTAGGGACTCATGGGCACCAGGGACTGTAGAGAATCTGCTGGAAAACGCTGTCAAGCAGGAGAAAGGGTGCGGTGCCTCGCCTGCCCACGCCTGCTGACTGCACACTACCTCATTATCCATTCTCGCCAATTCTTTGGAAAAAGGACACATTTTTAAGTTGGAAGCCCAGAATTTGTCTCCCAACATTAACAAACACACAGCCCAGCAGCCCCTTCCTGGCTTGGCCACCCACTCAGCATACACTTTTAGAGGCACCAATTAATGAGGAGCTGGGTTCATTTCTAAGCTTGGCCTTCTTTCCTGGGCTGCTCCCCCACCCCCCTTAACAGCCAGGGTGCTAAGGGGCATAGATTGATGTCTGGTGGTGGCTGCAGAGGACGACAATTCTGTTTTTCCTGGTCTGGGGTACAGAATGGCTGCAGCTGTGAGTCTCTTCCATCTGGTCTGTGGCCTCCAGCCTGGCCTTACTGGTGTTGGCTCCTCTGGGCACCTCTGGCCTGTTGGTTGTAGCTAGGAGTCATTGTAGGTACCCTGGCCCTGCTGTAGAAAGACTGGCTTTCACTTAGCATTGCAACATTTTTTTTTTTAATGTCCTTCTAGCCTTGGAGATGAAGGGCCCACTTCTCTAACCTGTGCCCGGTGTCTTTCCTGAGCCTACCCATTCAGTGTCCCCATCTGGGGACCCCTTCCTGCCTTTCTAAGCATGGCACAAGGCTGTTGTGAGCAAAACCCTCGGCT